GATAGATAGATAGATAGATAGATAGATAGATAGATAGATAGATAGATGCTTCTGTTTATGAATGATCTAGGCCAATGAATGAATGAATGAAGTTTTAGGGGTGGTGAGATGGCTCAGCAGGTAAAGAAAGGTACTTGCTGCCAAGCCTGATGACCTGAGTTCCATCCCACCAATACGGTACAAGAAAAGAACTGACTTCTATAAGTTGTCCTCTGATTTATACGTGTGTGTGCCTATATACATACCCCCCCACACAAATGTAAACAAAATTAAGGAGTTTTGTAGAAAATAAGTATGTGTAAGGTAAGTGAATGAATGAGCAGGAAGAAATAGAAACAATTATATAATGAAAGAACAAAAGACAGTGACTGTGAAGAAGGGCTGGAGAGAGTTCAGAGGAGAGGAATATGTCCTGCTCTGCAAAAGACGCCAGTTGAGATCCCAACATGCACATCCAGTGGCTCACAGCCACCTGTAACAGCAGTGTCAGGGGATCTGATGCTCTTTTCTGGTTTCTGTAGGCACCTTCCCTCATGTGTACCCCCTCACACACACACACATTAGTTAACAATGTTAATAATAATTAAAAATCTTTTTGAAGCATTTTTTTGCATCTTTCCTCTGAAACTCTTAAGATTTCATTAGCTTTCCTGTACCCTACCCACATTACAATAATTATGACCACATTGTTAGTGGCTCTCACTGATCTGTCTCTTTTTCTTTCCAGGGGCAGTTCCAAAAGTCTTCAGATTTTCAAAAGAAAGGACTGAGGCAAACATGCAGTGATGCAGGGAGAAACCGCAGAGACTGTGGAAATAATGAACGTCCTTGTGGCCAGGAGGCAAGCACTCTTAGGTGAGTTACTGAAGGTAGGTCTGGCTGTTTGCAGCTATATGGAGAAAGCCCTTTCATTTTAGCTACCAGGGAACCGTGGATTGTTGAGTAAATATGTGTGTGTCTTTATAACTGGAGGAAGGACAACCTAAGACTAGACATACTGGGTGTATATTTCAGCCTTGCCACTCTACTACACCTTATTGGATTGAATAA